GGGGGGGGGGGTGGAAAACAAACCCAACATCCCCCCCCCCCCAGATTGCTTGCTTTGCCCTAGTGAAGGATTGGAGCAAGAGAGTGATACATATGCTTTAAGTGACAGTTATCCATATTGGAGTCAAGATGCTAGACTAAAGAAGTCCTATCTGAAGGCAAAAAGCTTCTCTCAGAGACCACAGAAGAGCTGCATGTTTGGAGGTGGGTGTGGGGGGCTGAGAAGGGAGAAGTCTCCACTATTTATCTGAACCTTAGTTGCCATGTTCAAGCTGCTAAATCCTGATAAGACACTGTCTCCCCCATAGTGCCACAGACCCCAGGTCAAAAGGAGTCCTTACCTTCTAGGGCTCTCTTGTGGCGCAAGCCTGTTTCTTGGCAGAGAGTCTCACAGCAATCACACATGTTGCTTAGAATAGGATTATCCAGGAGTTCCCACCTGTTAGATGGGAGCAGTAGGAAAAGGACTGTAAGTGAAGATTAGAGGTCTTAAAGCAAAGGAGAGGAGAAAAGTCTCAGGGTACGACTAGGTCTACCTGCTCAGTTCCCAGGCATCTCTCAATTTAAGAATCTTTTACAAGGTCTTAGAGAAAAATCAATTCTTTGCTTTTAGCAGTAGCTGGACTGTTGGCTGTTTGGAGCAGAATGGAAGAGACTTGGAACTTAATGCAACAGGGGCGTGCTCTTGCAAGTAAAATGGAGAAAGCATGGACTGCAAATACAAATTGGAGTGTTATTATTTGTGAAGAAAGGATTTGGAAGAGTTGCAAGACTTCTCATGGTAGAATGGGAGGAATTTTGTCCCTCACCCCCAACCAAGACTTAGCTTTGTTGGTTGCTTTTATGACTGAACATTGAACTTGGTTTTGTTAAGCTTATTCCAACAAATAACCCTTATATAATAATGCCTTCCATTGCAAAGAGATTTAGAGGCACTATATCTTTCACACTCTCTCTCAAATGTCCAGAAGTTATACAACCAGTCAAGATTGAACATATGGACCCATTCCAGTTAAATACGGATTACTATCCTGCTTGGAACAAGTAAGGTTGGCAGTACATCTGAAGCCATATCAACTTCACCAGCCAGCTCCAAACCAAACATTTCCAGTTAGGCAATCCTGAAAAGTGTTTTAAACACTTCCAAAGCTAATGAACCTGGAATGCATTCACCTTTAGCCCTTATGACAGGCAATATCAGACAGAAGGGCAAGTGGACCAAAGTTATCATGGACTCAAGTGGGCAAAACCACTTTGTTGCCAGCAGAAGAATGCACCCAAGGCATGCCAACATGCCACCTGGGACAGACTCCGTTCAAGCTTGCCATGCAGAACAGACTCTGTTCAACTTTGTTTTAACACTTTCTTGGCATGCAGGTCATTCAGTTGATGGTCCTCCTCCCACAACAGCTCTTACCTATTTGTGTCCCTGTGGAATGAGCAGGCCTTCCTAGTGGGGTGCATGAGGACTTGGGGGTCCCAGACTAGCACCTGGCAGTGAAGATAGATCTGCAAAGCAGGGGAAAGGGAAAGAGATGGCTTAACTGCTGATTAGAAAGGAACAGGCTCCATAGATGCATACTTGAGGAAAAACAAGGAGACTCCATTTAAACAGCAGCTATGAGAATCTGGGTTCCAGTAACAGAGGTGGATGTGGCAGATACCCATGTAAAGTCTTCGACTTGGTGACTGCATTAGATCCATTATGAACCCATGCTTCTTACCAGTCAGAAGACTTGTGGGGTTCCCAGACTGCTGTCTAATGGGGGCACATGTACATCTAGCACATCCAGGAATTTGAACTAAACTAGAGCAATTCAGTGTTAGCCTTAGAACAACATTGGTTAAACTTCTTGCACGAGTCAGTTTTGTGAAGGCCAGGTGATTAATGGTATGTCTGATGCCCTTGTTTAGAAGCAAGGCATGTCAAAAGATAGCCCGTGTGAAGCTCCTGCCATTACTTGAGGGAAGCATCTTGGGAGGTAAGTTGCACTGCTACAAACTATGGGAGAACTAGGACAGAAAGGAGCCAATGACTCAGCCCTCTTTCATTAGGGTTTTGGACAGCAGGAGATTTCTTATACAGACAGGATCACACATTTCTTAGTTTGGCCATGGTAGATTACCCAACTAGATAGTACAATAAAAAGCTGCAAGTTTTTTTCTGCATAGACCTATAGTAGTTGCAGTCAGAAACTAGCTTTAAATAGTCCTGGGTAGAAACATTTGCAGTATAATTCAAGTTGATCCAGGTACTTAAACATTTTTCTACAAGACATCTCTTGACACCAGAAGTGCCGTCTCAGGATTCAAGTGAGTTACTTACATCCGAGTCCACACCTACAAATCCAAAAGCCTGCAGGGAAAGACTGATAGCTTCAGGAGCCTTTCTGGGCAGAAAATGGGAGTTTGACACTTTACCTTCCACAAAACACCTGAAACAGAAAGGCTGGCTTAATCCATCAAGGCCACAGCAATTGCATCTAAATAGACAATAATTGTTTGGCCCTGATCTACTTTGCTGTTCTCTCTCCAAGTCTTTAAGCTGTTGAAACTGTGTTCAGAGTGAGTGAACTACTTCTGAGCAGCATCTACCCAAGGTTTCAGCAGGTTAACCTATGGTAGTGATGCCATGGGGGTCTAAATTTAGTGCACCTATGGCTTCCAGTGATCAAGCCAACCACCTGCCTTCTATCATCTTCATTTGCCAATAAGCTACACCTTATTAGTTAAGGCAGAAGGCAGGTCTGAAATAAATATTTCATCAGTAGAAGTTATTTAGGAGCCTTCAGATATTAAACACATTCAGTCAAGATGCTCATGCGATTGCCTGAACTCTACATTTTCCAAGCTAAACAGATTTCATGAGTTGCCTGAGCAGCAGATAGTTACCCATGGTTTGCAATAATGCTGTAGCTCCTGGGAGATCTGTGGAGTTCTGGGGTTGTGGTGGCCATGCACTCATCCACAAAAATCTGCAGAGGCTGGTGGAAGAAACTCTGTACAGCAAACTCTATATGAATCTGAGAGCCCAGGGGAAAGACCTGGGAGTCTGAAGGGGCACTGAAGTCCCCTGCAAGAAAATAGGATTTTGTATTTAAAGATCATTTCACAGGCTGCTTGTTGTGATGTGTGTCACAGAATGAGACTTTCAAGTAGTCAAAGCCTTTTGCAAGTGTATGTAGAGTCTTTCGGGGAAGGAAAGTTGGTGTTCTCCAGTATTAGTCCCATGAATGTCCGCCAAGAAAGCTACCATGCTCTTCAGCTCCTTCTCCCCAACCCCTATGATAGGTTCTCACAAAAAGGAAGTCCCTCCCCAGTGTTACCAGAGTGGCAGGATTTTTTTTTTTAGGCAAAAAAGAAAACAAACAAACAAACCCACAAACCCTGAGTGTAAGGCTGAAGATAAGACAAGTGACAGAGGAAGAAAGACTCACATTTGTTTCATGAGTCTTCTACAAAAGAAGTGGCAGCACCCACACCACCTTAAGAGGTGGTAAATTAGGTCTAGTTTTAGGACATTGTTTAATGGTGTTGGAAACAGGCAGCTCAGTGCACCCGAGATCATGGGGAAATCCGACAGTAGCACCCAGCCTTTCAGTAACAGTTGTCTTACCATTCATCAGCGTTACCTTGAACATCAGTACACTGGAGGCAGACAGCTGACCAGTAACTGAGGATATATTTGTAGGAGTCAAGGATTTTGCACTAGAAAGAAATACATTGTTAGAGAGTTGGTAGGAGTTAGACTTATTATTTCTGAAGGGTAAATTCTTGCTCATGGGCACAGAAACTAAAAGAATCCTGAACCGAGTAAGGCCAGCTTGCCAGTCTATCTTTGAGCCATGCTAGAATGGTTAGATTACCTCTCTTTCCAAAAGCCATGCAGCATACAAGAAACTGCCTTGAAGGGCTGCCAGATTCTTTTTTACATCCTGGGATTTAAGGCAAGTTTAGTACATGACCAAAACCCAAGAGTAGTTCTGCCAACTAATACAGCTTTGGCTTACTGGTTAGCATCTCCTTCAGCACTCAAAGAAATAGGTCACCTACAATCAGCTGGTTTAAGTCTTCCCTTGTCCAACTGGTATCACTATTCATGCTTGTGAAGGATTAGTTTCTTGTTAGTGGAGCTCATGGTAATTTGGGGATTTTCACTTAAGCATCAAACTAGTAAGCTCAAGTGCTGGCAACTTACTCATAATCAGTGCAGTTTATTCTTTCACTGAAGGAGGTAGCGTAGTATCTGCCTCTCCCAGAGGGAGGCTTATAGGTCAGGTCGGTGAAGTGCTCAAGCACATTCCCAGAAGTCTGTAGGGATCAGGGAAAAATAGAGATTAGAACAATCATGTTCCCACTTTCTCCTCCAGGCCACAGACTGAGGGCAAAAATTCCCCCGTAGGGACGCAAAAAATGTGTTTGCACTCCTGAACAGCTACATCCAAAAAAACATTGCTTATCAGCCCCTGCCTTGGTAGCAAAGACATTGGTCACTGGCTTATCAACAAAAGAAAGACTTAACAGGGGCTAAACTGCACAGGCCTCTCAAGCAGTTAATATTTCTCTTCCATGGATACTAGACAATTTACTCAGTCCTTATGGTTCCAGGACCATGAGTTTCTCACTCCAGATTTACGGCAATCGTACAGAAAGGGAGCATTCAGGTATTAAATCCAAACGATCATCTCAGTGGGAGATGTTGGTGAGGCCCAGATCCTCCATGTATTTAAGCATATCACTCCTGTTAAAAATCTGTGCAAGTTTGGTGCCTAAAATCCCTTTAAAGATCAGAGCGTTTGGCTCCTTTCTCACTTCTAGCCCAGCAAATAGCTGTAGGAGTTTTCCTATTACAGCTGCTCTGTCAGATAGCATTTCCACCCTCATACACCCCCAAACTAGAAAGAGAAGCTACTTTAGAGGCATTTGAAGAGCCCGTAGCTCCAAGCAAAGGTGAAACTCAAGGCCTTTGCTTGTCTAAGGAGCTACCAGACTCACCAGCTGTGAGAAGCTGCAGTCCTTCAGGTCATACTGAAAGTGCAGAAGGCCCTGTTGGTTGTTGATGATGGAATAGGGGCAGCTGCCCAGATGCAGGGATTGTGGATCAAGCATGAGGCCAGCTCCCTGGGGGTTCAGGTGTATGGTCAGGTGGATGCTGGTTTTATTGCACTCATAGAATACAGGGTAATTGGATGCGCTCCTTCTCCCTACAGAAAGATGCAGTCTTGTAAGCTGGCAAAAACATTCCATCTCCCCAAAACTATCTAATCCCATTCTCTAGGCCATTTACAGCAGGGTGCTTTGCTTCCCCCTCCCCCTGCCTTTTTTTTTTTTGGTTTCCTTTCCCCCCCTTTTCTCCATCAATATGGTGGGGGAATGAGTTCAGCACGGCTGGGGGGGGACTGCCCAGCCAGGAGAGGGTGCCTGGGGTCCAGGGTGGGAATGCACAGCTGCAGGGCCCAAGTGGGGAGAGGGATAGAGCCGCAGGCAGCACATTCAGGGGTGGTGAAGGTATGGGCTCCCTGCCGCTGCGCGCACTTACTGGGAGAGGGGGTGCACATGCTCCCCAGATTTGTGCATGGGGCAGGGGTAGATATGGGCTAGCAGCTGCAAGCTTGGGACTCCCTGCCCTGCTACCCTCCCTTCAGGGGCCTCTGCAGCCCAGTGGGTGGGATCGGCAGGGCAGGGCAGAAAAGAACAAAGCAGGGCAGGGAGGCTCAGTGTCACTGGCAGGAGCCTCACACCATTATGGTGAGGCATCCCCTGCCCACCCAGAAGCAGTGGGGGTGGTGGCACAGAGTTGTGTTCCCCACTGCTGCCAGGTAGGCAGGGGGCACCTCACCATGGCAGCACAGGGCTCCCAGCAGCTGTTCTGCCCTGCCACAATGGGTCCCACCTGCCAGGCTGTGGAGGCCCTCAGAGGGAGGGCAGCAGGACGGGGAGCCCAGAGCCCACAGCTCTCCCCACTCCCCCAGGCTTTACTCAACCATGTCACCTGTGGGGGAAGGGGAGGGGGAGCCGGGTTCCACACTTTGCTTCTCCACAGCGGCCATCACCTCCCACGAGCAGCAGCCGGGGCTCGGACCCTGGCCCTGTAGGCCTGGCAGCCAGGGCCCCCCTCCAGCAGGGGCGGGGTGGGGAGGGGAGTGAGGGGCAGTGGCATGGGCAGGGCACCAGATGCATATCAGAGCTGCTCAGTGGCACAGAGCAGTTCAGGGAAGAGGGCAGCCACAGCTGGACTCATGTCTTTGGTGAACAAAGGGGGCAGGGGGAGTTCTGATTTTCCATGATAAAAAACCCATAATCAAATGCCTCAGTTTATAGGTATTTATAAAATTTATTTTATTATAGTGACTGAGGCACTGGTAGGCTTCCAAAACTGTAGTTATAAAATTGATAAAACATTGCATTTAACTGATACCTCTCTATAGAGCGGCATTTTGTTTTAATTGCAGAAAAACACAGATGGGGGGGGGGGGTTAAATTAGAAAATTGGTTATTTTTAAAATGGAGAAAGCCAGGATCTCTTGCAATTATCTTTTCCAGGCTACATTAGTGCAGGGTCCTGAACTGAACACACTTCACAGTGAGGAAATGCTCTAGTCCTACTGAAATTAGTGCATTACAGGAAGGGGTGTGGGAAGCCAGGTTTTAGAAACATCCCAGGAGTTACTCATACACTGGGTTTCTATATCTAGATGCTTAACAGTTAAGAACAGAAGTACATAGTCAAAGCAAACAGCTCTTATAGGAAAGGAGTGTTCAGTGTTACTAGATCCGGTTGTTTTAGGTGAAGACTTACAATAGTTGATGGTTTTATAGAGAGACCAGGTGCTGGAATTTGGATTTTCATGAAACAGAGCTCTCATTCACAGGAAGCCACAAAAACATGACCCAAGAACATACACAAAGGGCAGAAGCCCAGATAGCAGGCTTTATTTTTTTAATGGCTTTGAACTTTGAGCCAGTTTTGAGGTTTTCCAAGCAGTTTTGCTACAGAACACTAGACCCCAGCTCAGAGCTGCAGGAACTCCCCAGACGGGAACTTACCTCTCTGACCAGCAAACACCGAGCTCCAGGCAAGCACCACCAGGAACTCTTTCCACAGCCCCATGATGCTAGACTCACAGTCCTAGTACCAGAACATACATTCTCAGGAGAAATTATAGGTGTATATCTTCTGACAGGCAATCTGTGCTCAGTGCCAGTTCCTTATACTCCACAGCCCTCCCAATCAAGACCTGCTGAGCCCAGCAGCCAGCGCAGGTGCTAGGAATTCTTCATTGGTTTCAATCAGGAAAGATCCCAGCCCAGTTGGCAGAGCAGCTTCCAGTTCCCACTCACAAGCAAATCCTACTCTTTGCTGCAAACCCCTCCCCTGCTAAACCAAGCCCAGAGAACAGGCGAGTCCCCTGCAGTCATGCCCCATTGGGTTAGGCTCTAGGGAGCTAGGCTTTCAGATCCCTAAAGGAAGTCAGTGGGGCTCTGGGCACAGTCTAGACTTGCTGCTACACAGCAGTTTGCCCTTGGTTGCAATTTCTTTGCAGCTACATAGCCTTTGCAGAGTATGCTGGAAGTCTGTCCCCAGTAAGGAAGCAGCATCCAGGTAGTGGGGTCTGTGCACAAAGTGGGTGAGCTGAATGTAATGCTAGCACTGCCACGGGGCCTGATCCTGAATAGGGCTCCTGAACACCATTGGTAAATAGCAGCCAAGTGGAAGCAGCAGAGTAAGTATCCTGATGTGAGACTTTCTCTGCCCTCCAGTGTGGGAGGCTTTATCCACATTGAAAAGGGTTTTCAATTTCTTTGCAGCAAACCCTTCGGAGATGAAGCTTGTACCACTTCCCTAAGTAGGGGGGGCTCTTTTGACAAAAGGAATTTGTTCCAGTACAAGTGCATCCACACTGTGGCTGGTGTTTATATAGTTATAGCGATGAGGGGTGGGGAACGGGTACATAAGCATTATTCTTTATCAACCCATACTTTGTTGACCTATACATCTATGCCAGCAAAACTTGTAAGTGCAGCCCCCTACTGGGCTGATACATGAGGAGGTGCTGCTTTTTCGGGGTTCTACAAAAGGGATGTCCTGGCAGTCTGGAGTAATTAAAATCCAATTTCTGAGCATGCTAGCCCTGGTATCCTGAACAAACATCACCAGGAAGGTGTCCCCACATTCTGCGTTCCTGAAATCCCTCCCAGTTTCTTCCAGAGGCTGCAGGCTTCACTTCCTCTCTGACAACAATGCTGATGTGCTGCCACGTTTCAGTGGTAGGGAGTACGCATCCCACTTAGGCTGTGAAGTGGTAAGATTTCATAGATTTCATAGACATTAGGGCTGGAAGGGACCTCAGAAGATCATTGAGTCCAGCCCCCCACCCAAAGGGCAAGAAGTCAGCTGGGGTCATAGGATCCCAGCAAGATAAGCATAGGAAGCATAGCAGTCTATACGTGTGGGGTATTAACAGCAGCTGCAGGATTGGAAAGTCCCTGACAATAGTGAGTGAGTAGCAGTGCCAGCACCACATGCAACTAACCCACTTCACATATAGACCCTGCTTCCTGCATGTTGCTGCCCTGCTGCTGATAGACTCCCAGCATGCTCTGCAAAGTAGCTGCAAGGCAACCTGGATTGATTATTAGATCTTGGAGCTTTAGCTGCAGCAGTGACCTATTTTAGAGTTTCACTTTGCCCTTGCACATGTGCTTAAAGTTAAGCATATGAAGATTTGTAGAACAAAGCCCTTGATTCTCTGCACAGCTACCCTGGATAGGGCCCAATTCTGAACGGGACTCAGGTCACTGGTCTGCCACTGACCTGCTGCATGATTCTGATCAAGTCTATTCTACTCTCAGTGCTGCAGTTTCTTCATCTGCAAAGCAGGAGCAATAATACTGGCCCACCACTGAAACATGTTTAGGGAGCCTGGACTAAAAAGCACTGCACAAGCATTATTCTTTATCAACACTAAGATCTTCTAAGGCAGAGGCATCAAACATCTGGCTCATGGGCCAGATCTGACCCATGGAGCTGGGACATCCAGCCCACAAGGCTTCCTACAAGTCCTGGAAAACCCACCTCCAGATCCAGCTTGCAGGGCTGGAAATTTGGTAGTGGGGTAAGAGGCACCGGTGCTAGCCCCTGGAACAGCCAGCACTGCTGTGTTGACGAGGGCAGCACTCTGGAGGTTAACACTGCAGTTACTTGCCCTGCTGCCAAATTTCCTGTTTGGGATCTCCATTGGGGAAGCAATTCTGCTGCAGCAAGGTAAGTAGCAGTGGCATTAACCTTGTGGATGCTGATCCTGCCAACCTAGCACCTCTGGCTGCTGCAGGGAGTTAATGCTGCCATTATCTGCCCAACCACTAAATTTTCAGGCCAAGATCCCCACTGGGGACACAATCTGGTAGCAGCAGGGCAAGCAACAGCAGCGTAAACTCCTGTGGCTGCCAGAGTCACTGTGTCAGCAGGAACAGTATACAGAGAGTTAATGCCACTGCTACTCACCCTGCCACTGTAGTTCAGCCCTCAAGAAATGTCATGATTTGGAAAGGGTTTATGTGGCCTCATGAGTTTGACTTTCCTGCTCTAGGGGATAACAGGTTTTAGAAAGGGAGTTTACTTCATCTGGTGATATAAGCCCTTGGGCCCTGGCAGACAATAACTTAATGACATGATGGGATCTGATCCAAAAGTCATGCACCCTGCTGTGCTACATGGGCATGGCAGAATGCATGAGCTTAAGGACTGGATTTTAGGGAAAGTTGCAAGCTGCACATGATGCAGCCCTGCATGGCACCGTCAGGCTCATGGCTCTGCAAGTGCCAGGCATGGGAAAGTCAGTCATTCCCCCCACTTAGTAAGATCAAAGCCATGTGCCTGGTGGCCATGCATGCTCAACTCTCCCACCCAGCACCTGCAAAGCTGAGTGGAAGAAGCTGATTAACTTCCCTTGGTTGGCACTTGCACTGCTAAGTGCCTGGCTTTTAATTTGCTTGACAAGGGGAGTGGATCAGCTCCCCCTTCCTGCACATTCAGACCCTCCCAGGCAGGTTCACGTTGCCGTGATCCCCATGTCAACCATCAGCAGTGGAGACAGAGCAGGACCCTTAGCAGCGCCTGTATCCCTATTAGGGCCTGACCTAGCCAGGTCCAGATCACCCATAGCTCCTGACCCGAGTCCAAAATGTGCAGCTGCGTGGCCAGGCTTGCTGCAGGTGGTGGCACACAGCAGAGCCCAGCCCAGATAACTGGTGGCTCCCAACCCCCTTCCCCAGAACATGAGTCCCCGGCATGGCCAGGTCAGACCCATACCTGCACTTTGACTCTTGCTAGGAACTGGGTTGTCTCCTCTGCAAATGGCCAGGGTTGCAGGGTAGAAGCCTCACCTGGCAGAAGCTTTCTGTCTCCAGTGCTCTCTGCCTTAGGGCTGGGGGTGGGGTGGGCCCTGTACATCTGGGGGGAAGGTAGCGGGGGTTGTTAGCCTAGTAACCAGAGCCGGAGCTGCTCCTGCAGCCCGTGCCTACTGCCTGGAGGGCAGAGAGGTGCCTGCTTTGAGGCGCACCAAAGCTGTATGAAATCACTTGGTGGGCTGGATGTGGCCCATGGGCCGTATTTTGCTGGCACTGCAGACCAGTTGGGAACCTCAGAGTAGGATCAGTAAAACATTGTCAGAGAGGAAGGGTGGGCAGGAGTGCCAGAGGGAAAGCTGTTTCACCTCTGCCTGCATAGGAGAATTGTTGGGAGAGCCCAACAGTGAGAGTCTAAGAGACAGTGCAAGGGGAGTTAGCAGCAGATCCCAGAATTAGGAACAAGAAGGGGGAATTGCTGGGCTGCACTTCAGCAGGGGGACACATGAAGGGAAAGTGAGGGAGGGGGAAACTCAGCCAAAAGAGTCTTTATGGTGTGGCTCCAGCAGAAATAGAAGAACACTGTTGTTTATGATGCGGGACTAAGGAAACCCCCTCCATCCTACCAGCTCTTGTGGGATTCCCTCACAAGGATGTACATAAGCAGGAGAGGTCAGGAGCAGGCAACTGCATCTGATCTTCCCTCTCCATGTATAGAGAAAGACACCCAGTGGAGCAGGGAGCCCCTGTCCCAAGAGGCTGCTGCCCTCACAGTATCTGTCCCCTGCTGCTGGGGTGAAGAGGCCCCTCCTGACATCCAGGCAGAAAGAAAGAGACTGGAGCGAGAACAGCTAAATGGTTCTTATATTAAAAACTGTCAAATATACAGTATAATTATCTTACAAAATTATAATTATTTTATTTCTCATCTTTACAAACAGAGTAGAATGTTAAACACATGCACCAAGGACTGTTAATGGGACATGCTTGGCTGTGGCAAGGAGAAGAGGTAAGTGCTGCCCTTTAAATGAAAGGCTGCTAGATACTGCTCATCACACTCAACAGCAAGGCTAGGGCCCCCATCCTCTTTCAAAAGGACAGGCTATCCATGCAAAGCACGGATCCCAGCATGCATGCCTCATCCAAGCAGTTTAAAGATAATGGAGTGCATCCAGGGAATTCCTATAAGCATAGGACACCACTGAGGAGGAGTTGCAGCTGGCTCCATTGTCCATTGATTAGGTATAATCCTCAGGCCCTTGGTTATCCAGGCCTTGCACAACACTGGAAGTGCTGCTGACAGCTAATGATGGGAGGGACAGGACAGAGATGTGCAACTCCAATTGCTGCTTCATGAAGTCAGCTCAAAGAGGGATTCAAGACTCATTGTTAAATCAAACTGCTACCTCTCACCCTCACCTCACCTCCTAGCCCTGTGTTTGGAAGGGTCTGTCTATATGGGAAGCCTCTCACTCTGGTGCAAGTATGAACCTAGGACGTGAGTTGCAGGCAGTTACCTACTTGCCACCCTACCCCAGCTTCCAGCCATCTGTAGCCAGCTCCTTACGCATATGCCATAAACCACCACATTAATATCTGCAATGTGAGTGCTAAAGCACCCAAGAGTTGTAGCTTCTGAGGGGGACCCAGCTGCTGGCAGCTCAGCATGAAGCTGGGGAGAGACAGGCCTTTCACTCTTGACTCACTCTAACTCATCCTCCTGTCACTTCAGAACCTTCCACCTGGGCCCTTGGATGATCAGTGCTGAAAAAGCAAGGAAATCAGGCTGTGTTACCACCCCAGCTCCTCTTGAAGGTGAGGAATGGGCCAATGAGCCTGGATGGCAAAGGCAATGACCTCTCTCAGGTGAAACAGGTGTGTTCTCCCTTCACTGAAAAGCCTGAATATTATTCCTGTCTCTCCCCTAGCTCACTGGCTGTGCCTGAGGGAGTCCTCAGCTGCTTCCTTCACAAACTCCAGTGTCTCTAGAGACAAGTAAACTGTGGACTAGTGCACATTCCTCTCTTCTGTATTCATAGGAAATCAGCACCAATTGGTGGCTCCAAAATCCTTCCCTTAATTTTCCCAGCCAAACCAACCAGGAGGTATAGTGTTCCCTGAGGCTGCAAGGAACATGCCTTCTTCACCCCAGAGGCAATGGCTTTCCCTTTTTTGCTTCTGTTGAGCTTGGCTGCACTTGCAGGTATGGCTGGCACGTCATCCCCCCCCCGCAGCTAGGCCACGTGCCTTGTATAGCCCAGAGATTCACAGCTCTGTGGCTCTACCTACACTGGCCTGGAAGTCCTCCCTGCTGTTTAGTGCCTGCTCTCTCTTTCTCCTTTTCCTGGCTCCCTCCTAAGACTTTTGTGATAGTTCCTGGTGCTGCTGTACTCAACCCTGTCCCTTGTCAGGTTGATATGCACTTGCATTATCGTAATATAATTTTTTACTTGTTGGATGCCACTGCTCTTTGGCACCATCCTGTTGTGCTACAGAGGTACAGAAGCTGAGGTGCTAGCAACCCACACTTATAATGATCATCAGATTGGCAGCTACTGAAAGCTTGTTTCCTGTTCCCTTTTGCCCCTCCTGGGCTCTTTCCCCCTCAAAGAAGTGTGAAAGCAAGAAAAGAAGGCAAGGGAAAAACCCTCCCCCATCCTCTTTACAAGGTCCTCCCCGTGTCCACACCAGTTCTCACCAGGTCCCGAAGTTTATGTCCAGCATCTCCTCTTTGGGGAGTGGCACCACGGGGCCTTCTAACTGGTGAGACCATTGGATTTGAGGGTGGCAGGTGGGGAGAGAGTTAGGCAGCAAGGCCTGAACTGCCATGATCTAATGGGAAGACAGGCAGCTCAGAGTCATGAGACCACACAGACCCAGTGAATACTATACATACATCTTGACTGGAGCTAAGGATTAGACTAGAAAAGTACTAACCTACAAACTAAAACACAGGAGCTTTCAGCTAATGTTCTGTCACAGTGTGTCTACACTGCTTTCACAATATCCCCAAGAGTGCCACCAAAGCACCCCCTTCCCATTCTGTGTGTGTCTATTCCATCAATAAGGATGTGAAGCTGGCTGAGTATATCCATTACCATGCTCTCAAGAACTCTTTCTCTAGGATGCCTGAGAGCATCGGTGTGGGATGCTCTCAGCATGGCTTCACTACCTCTTTCGAGGATCAGCACACGGGAGCAGGAGGCAGTAGGCAGGGGGTTTTCCTGGGAGTGTTGCACAAGTGGTATGAACCTGGTGAATAGATTTTTCTTCCCACATCTCTGCAGTGAAACCTTCAGAGGCAAGAGCTGCTGAAGGCTGAGACTTGGCTGACAGAGATGGCCCACTGGACTTCTGCTATATCTGCTGTTTTGGTTTAAATCTGCCAGTCTGTTTATGAACTCTAGGATCACAAAAAAACCTACACAAGGTTTGTGCTTTTATTTTTATAAACATTCTCAAAACTCAAATGAAAGTTATTTTGCTAGCTACTAGTCAGTAATATGTCATAGTGACTTATGGCCAAGTATAGACTGCATGAGCACAGTAAACTCCATAAAAACATGAGGCGTTTGGACTAGTAGTAGCCTGAGCTAGTAATAAAAACCACTCAATGTGGCATATATCATAGACAGACTGCTCAAAATCAGTGCTATGGGAGAACCAGTTTGATTAAATATGACCCACTAGCCATCTTAATGTATCTAAATACAGTCCACGTTGGCACTATTTCATTCACAAAGAAACGGTCTGAATCAGTGCAGTTTGAAAGTCTTAGCTATTGTGGTCAGCTGATGTCTGTGATGCAGATAATAGTCAGCATATGGAATTATTTTGACCACCACGCATAGACTATATACAGGCCACATGGAACTGCAGTCTATAGGCTAGAGTGAATCAGTGCAAATTTCAGTCTTTAGAATGGACTGAAAATATCGAGTGTCATCTCTTACGTGAACCAGCGTGTGACTTGTGCAGTTCGAAACAGACATACAGATAAACGGGCAGGTCAGATTCACATACACAGGCACCAACACACTCAATAACAGATCAGTCACACGCATAGCACCAGTCACTGTCACAGATCAGTCTTATATCACCCACAATTACAAACCTAGAGGTATTAATACTCACTATAATGTCACACACACAGCAACACATAATACTAGTCATATGTCAATTCCTTTCCAATACACATAGATGTATATACATACCCGACAACAGGCACACACAGTGACACATATCAAGATATCAATATGCACTGTAATATACTACTTCTACCCAGCAAATACACCCAAACTGGTCTTCACACACTTCTTAATGGACTGTAATGCAAATCTCATACTTACAGCCCCAAACACTGGTAAACCTATTGGCCAAATATACTGACACCAGTGCTTCCTGTAATATATTTTCCACACACACACACACACACACACACACACACACACACACAC